CAGGATGAGGCCCCTCCAGCTCTGGTTGGCCTTGAAGTTCTCCCAGGCCACGGACAGGATGGACAAGGTCCTCATCGTGCCAGATTCTGTGGTCACCTCCCTACGGTGATGGTCCGCCCAAACAACCTGGGATAGGGGGCCCATGTGGGGAACTTTCAGACCCAAGGCCTGTGGTCGGCTCAAGACCTGACTCTACATATAAACGTCAAGGAGCTCAGGGCAGTGCAGCTGGCGTGTATGGCCTTCCGCTCGCACGTGGAGGGCAAGGTAGTTAGAGTCCTCACGGACAACGTGGCCTCGATGTTCTATATCAACAGGCAAGGTGGGGCCTGATCCTCTGCTCTCTGCCATGAAGCCCTCAGGCTGTGGGACTTCTGTATAGCCTACGACATCCACCTGAAGGCCTTCCACCTACCGGGTGCCTGGAACAAGAGGGCAGATCGCTTAAGCAGGGACTTTTCCTCGCAACACAAGTGGTCCCTCCACCCAGAAGTGGCCCACTGGCTCTTCCGAAGGTGGGGAACTCCCCAGGTGGACCTATTCGCGACTCAGCAGAACCAGTGATGCCCCCGGTTCTGCTCCGGGGGAGGGTCTGGGGAGGAGTGCTATCTCCAGTGCCTTTATCCTGTTCTGGTCAGGCCGGCTTCTCTACGCCTTTCCCCTGTTCCCTCTAATCAGCAGGGTCCTGAAGAAGATAAAGATGGACAAGGCCCTGGTCCTCCTTATTGCCCTGGCTGTGGCCCAGGCAGCATTGGTATGGGACTCTCACGGGCCTGGCGGTAGCTCTGTCATGGTTGTTGCTGCTCTGCTCGGACCTGCTCTCTCAGAACCAGGGCTGCCTCCTCCATCCCAACCTAGAGGTTCTTCACCTCACGGCGAGGCTGCTCAGTGGTTAGGTGGAGAGGAAAGAATGTGCTCAGAACAGGTTCAGCGCGTCCTCCTTGAAAGTAGACGGCCCTCCACTCACTGCGCTTATTTGGCGAAGTGGTTCCGGTTTTCTAGGTGGGTGGCGGACCAGAGTGTCTCCCTTGTGGCCGCCCTGATCCAGCTTATCCTTGGTTACCTCCTCCACCTGAGGGCCCAGGGCCTGGCGCCCTCGCCAGTCAAGGTGCACCTGGCAGCCATATCAGCCTTCCATCTGCTATTGCAAGGGCATATGGTATTTTCCCATGCTATGACTGGCCAGTTTCTTAAGGGTTTGGACCATCTTTTTCCGTATTCTAGACCGCCGATCCCACAGTAGGACCTAAACCTGGTGTTGGCTCGTCTCACGGGGCCATCGTTTGAACCACTGGCCACGTGCTCCTGGTCTCACCTCTCATGGAAGCTGGCCTTCCTGGTCGCAGTCACGTCGGCCAGGCAAGTTTCGGAGCTCAGGGCCCTGACCTCCGAGCCACCGTACACGGTCTTCTATAAGGACAAGGTTCAGCTCTGCCCACACCCCGCGTTCCTCCTGAAGGTGGTCTCCGCCTATCACATGAGTCAGGACATTTTTCTACCAGTCCTCTGCCCCAACCTCACGCATCCAGCGAGGAGCACCATCTCCACACCCTCAATGTGCGGTGGGCTCTGACTTTCTACCTCAACGGACCAGGCCGTTCAGAAAGTCCTCACAACTGTTCGTCACCTCGCTGAGCGCTTGAGGGGCCAGCCGATTTCCACTCAGCGGCTTTCCAATTGAATCACTTTGTGCATCCGTTGATGTTACGAGCTGGCAGGTGTCCCCCTGCCACCCATTGTGAGGGCACACTCGACTCGGGCACAGACCTCGTCAGCTGCCTTCATGGCTCACATCCCCATCCAGGACACTGTAGGGCTGCCATGTGGTCTTTGTTTCACACATTCACCTTGCACTATGCGATCGTCCCCCAAACCAGGGATGATGCCGGGTTCGGCAGGGCTGTCCTCCATCCTGGGAACTTGTGAACTCCTACCCACTTCCAACAGATATAACTTGGAATCACCTATTGTGGAATACAAATCAGCAATCACTTGAAGAAGAAAAGACAGTTATCTTTTCTCTAACTGGAGTTCTTTGAGATGTGTTGCTCATGTCTATTCCACATCCTGCCCTCTGTCGGAGTTGTCTCTCAAGAAGGAACTGAGGGTGGGGGGAGCGTGCAGCTCCCCTTATACTGCGCTAGGCAGGCGTCACTCCAGCAGTCTCTGGGGAGCGCTCCCCCCCTACAGGTACTGCTAGGGGAAAAACTTCCAGCACCGGTGCACGTGGCAAGCACACACATCTATTGTGGAATAGACATGAGCAACACATCTTGAAGAACACCAGCTATGGAAAAGGTAACTGTCTTTTTCCAGATTAAAAGACAATGACTGTCCCCCATCCTAGGTCTTAGCCAGGTTGATGCTTGATAGCAAACTGGGGTTTGGTGGGGTCCAGCCAAAAAGAGGGGAAAGAAGGGGGCAATTTGGCTGCTCTGGGACCTTCCCTCTCTGCCGCGGGGGTCCGGGTGGCGGCTTGCTGCCCGGACACTGAGCCCTGTCGGAGTGGCAGCCAGGACCCTGGTGTGTGCTGCGGGGAGCCATGGGACAGCCAGCTGCCCAGACCCTGAGCCATGCTGGCTGCCCGGACCTTGCTGCGGGGGGCTGGGTGGCAGCCGGCTGCCTAGACTGGGAGCCCTGCTGGGGGGACAGGCCCCGTGGTGGGCAGGCGACAGCTGGCTGCCTGTACCCTGAGCCCCACCATGTGGGGCCAGCGGTAGCTGGGAGCCCAGAGCCCGCTGCGCGGCAGGGCAGCCCAGCTGGGAGCTGGGAGCCAAGAGCGCGCTGCCCGGCAGGGCAGTCTGGAGCCCGTGGCCTTTAGCACACAGTTGAGCTGGGCTGCAGCTGTGTCCTAATTGGGCCACAGGTTGAGAACCACTGCTTTAAACACACATTTTATAGTTTTAGGCAGAAACCCTGCTGAATAGCCAAGGATGGCGCACGCTAATCATTCTGATGCCATCTTTATGATAATTGATACTAAGGTTTAGAAAGGTTCCCAAATAATACAGATATAAATAAGGCCTCTTATAATTATTGTAAATAACATAGAATAGCCTGTAGGTAAACATATTGGATAAGCAAAATAATTTTTCATTTTGGGAAAATTAACCCCATTTCCTTCTGAGTGTCCAACTCCTGCATTTCCTGGCTTCACTGTTCTCTCGTGGTGGATGTAGTTGTTTCTGTGGATCTAAAGTCTCAAAATCTAAAAGTCTCTAAATATAATTCTTTTTGGCCCTAGGGCCACCTGCTGCCCAGGACAGACATACAAATCAATGGGATCTGTGCATAATTTGCCCTTGCCTAAAGAGTGGTCCTAGGGCTTCCTTAGAAACATTCCTGTAGCCTCAGTGCATGCCTGAATAGGTCCTTACTGCTGTGTGGCTGCAGTGGAAATCATCTCTGCCTTTGAAGAAGCCATACTCATATAATGGGGAGAGGTCAGCATGGCTGTGAGGGCACTTTAGGATACATGAGGACGGTAGCAGAGCTGACCAGGACTGTGTGGATTTGAAGTTCTGTACCTGTTTTGACTTGCTGGAAATATCATGTAAAGGAAACTTCAGGGTGAATCTCTGGATTTCCTAGAGTCCTTTGTCCTATTACATAGGAGGGTACAACATATCTCATGGAAATTAGGATTTCTTTTCAATCCATGTCAGTGTTTCTTTTGTCCATCATTAGTTTTTATTGCACACTGACGTCTCCTTGTGGGAGTTGTAGTTCAGATCTCCATTCTCTGCTGTTGGCCAGGATACCTGGAGGACCATGTGTCTCATAATGCAGTGTGGATTTCCCTGTGACCGAGCTGCAAGGTGCATAACGGAAGTCACATGACTGGGTGCATTATGGAAGATGTCTAGCCAGGAGAGATCAGGCTCCCAAATTACAACTCACAAGAGCCAACACGTCACTATGGGAAAATTACGGTGTAATATTGAACGCAGTCAAACAAAGCATTTTGGTTTTAGTTCAGTAAACCAAAATCAAACGTTTAGATTTTTTCGTGATTTAGGCTGAAAACAAATTTTGGGGTTTTCCATACCATGGAAACTCCTAATTTTGCTCAGCTCTGTATATTATTTTTATAGCTTTGTTTATGGCCAATTTCATCCTTTAACTCCAGTTCCAATATGATTTGCAGTGTTTTCCATTTGTGCAGTGTAAACCATTTGTGCTTAAGTACCTAGATGCTATGGACTAGTTTTAGGATAAAATATTTCATTTAACTGCTTAAAATATTTCATTTGAAAACATTGTTAAGATAAGGTGACCCAAAATGTGAGGTAGCCATTATGACAAAGAAAACACAAAACCATGGAGTAGATGCAGCTTTTTAGACAAAAGTTTTAAAACCTGTAGAGCAGTGTTGCTTACACACAGGGGCTTGGAATTTCATGGGGAATCAAATTATCTAAATGACAAAGGCCTCTGTGCTCCTTCAGTGCAGTAAGGGAATGAGCAAAAGTCCAGAAACTGCTTAAAAATAGGGTATGGTGCAACATAGCAAGGAACTGAATTATGGAGTAGAGAATAACTATGTAGTTAAGTCCTGTGCTTCATACTTCCCGAGGCAAGGGCCTAAGTTGCTAGGCAAATGGTTGATGTACATAGTTTAACGCAGATAATTTCTACATTAATGCCTCCTTATGATATCCAGAGACAAACAATGGGAGTAATAGCATATGGTAGGCAGGAGTGGTGATTGTCTGCACCTCATGTAGTTGGGATGCCAGTGGTTGGGAGAACAAGGCTGGGAGGTGTGCAGAAGGATGTGTGTTCTGAATGTTTGTCTAGAGAGCCATAGGGTTTGGAACCGTGTTCTGTAACAGAAGTTGGTTGCAACTTTACTATAAAGAGGCTATCACCTGTGGCTGGCCTTCAGATCATAACATTACATCGGAAGAGCAGGCTTTGTTCTTAAATGTAGAGGTATGTACATTGCTGATGCATATACTGTCTTGCTTTAAAAACAGTATTCACTTTTTTCTTTTCAGTCTGAAATTCAGAACAACTCCACACCATCTAATCAAGAGCATACTCAACCTGTATCTAATAATAGCTCCATGAGCCCGCGCCAGCGCCGTGCCCAGAGGCAGAGAAGAGTACCATCTTCAACTAACTTCAATCAGGTGCAGCAACCAAGAGTCAACACAAGCCACACTGGATCAACTGTTTTGATTGTCCTTCTGACTTTAGCATTGGCAGCTCTTATCTTCCGACGGGTATATCTGGCCAATGACTATACATTTGAGTTATAAGGTTTTCTCTGTCTTACGAGCAGTGACTTGAATGCTTCATTAAACATTCTGTATTGAGTATGCTATGAGAACTGTTTACAGAAGATTACTTTTTTATTTACTCTTTTAAGTCTTTACGAATGTTAATATACCTTTAGGTACATTGCTTTGTAAGTAGGACAAATGTTGACATTTCTATGAATACTAACAACTGTTAATGATCCATGAACACCCCACTGGATACTTAGAGAAACAATTTGGTTGAATATGAATAATATGTAAAGGGTGGGGGAAAGAAAGTATCATTTGTGGCTACCTTATTTACTGATAAAAGGAGGCAATTAAAACAGAAAGGGGTTTTAGACTTTTTCTCTGTGGAACATGGGTGCAGATAGTCACCCATATCTGAGTGAGTATAAAAATTTACGTTGGAGAAGGTCTTTTAAAATGAAACGCAGTGTCTATGTGTTGCGTTGTGTGTGCTCTTAATTCTGAGGAGGATAATATTTTGTAACCACTTTTATTTACAATAAGACAATTCTAAAAAAATGCATGAAATGTTGGTTCTGAGACTGTGCTCTCTGTGGAAAAAAGGGGCCAGAAAATTGTTTCCTTTATTTTTTGTTTTTAAATTTTTTTGGAAGTTAGATTGGATAATCTTTTCCAAGATTTGAATGTCGTCTTCTAATACTCTCAATTGTATATCTTGCTTTTTTAAATTTGAAGATTATATAAAACATCTATTATTGCAATAGTTATAAATATGTAATATAATTATTTACCCAGAGCTATTGTCTTTTAATTATTCCAGAAATATACATAATGCATTACATTGAATGTTTCATATGTGCTGTTATTTGCTAAAAAAAATCTAAATATTTTCATGCTTAAACTCTGCTTTGCATGGGCAAGCTTGATGGAAGCTTTCATGAAACCCTTGGCTCTAATGAATTATCGCAATTCAAGCCTCATTTACACAATATTTTTTCTTGCACTTCATTGCAATACTTCAAGCAAAGTTTAAAATTTGAAAGTTTTTAAATATCTTTCCAGCATATCAAGATTACAGCATTCATGTGTATATCCCTATTTATTCATTGTAGGTGCTGGCACTTCAGGTAGGGGTAGGGTTGCCAATCCTCCAGGATTGTCCTGGAGTCTCCAGGAATTAAAGATTAGTCTTTAATTAAAGATTGTCATGTGATGACACCTCCAGGAACATGTGCAACCACAGTTGGCAACCCTAGATACCCTAGATTATTAGTGCCCTCTGTGCTGATCTTGAATTTATTTAGCCATAAAGAACAAGTTCAATGGGATAATCATTTCCCCATTATCTGACTATATCGATAATTAAGAGAATCTACCATTGCTCATTTAAGACTCAACAGAACCTCAGTAATTTTCACTTTACTAGTGGCGACTATGATAGCTCTCACTAAAGCCAGACTGTCCCACCCTACTTCTTAGCAAAGATAAGAATGTTGTAGTCAGCTCTCATATTAACATTACAAAATATACTACATGCTAATGTACTCCTAAGCATTATAAATAAGTAAAATTTTACACTTGTGAAAATTAATAGACAAATTACATATTTTATGTAGTGCCCTGGTGTGTGTGTGTATGTTTAATTTATTCACTTGCTAACTTGCAAAATTCAGAAATGGATTCCCAGTGGTTATTTTGAATTAGTGCTGCTCTGCTGTACATACAAACAGGATGTATGTACATCAAAGCATCTTAGTTTAATTAAACATTTACAATAAAACTATATAGCATGTCTGGATAGATCCGCAGTTATTTAAATCTTGCATTGTCTTCAAGTCTGGAAGGAGGACAATCTGGTTTCCTATGGTGAAATTAATAAAAGTATTTTTCCCCAATAAGTATATTAGTTTTGGTAGGAATACGGTATATTTAAAATCTATAGACCCCATATTCCTGAAATAAAAAGTTGTTTTTTCCTTGTTGGTACATTGTTTGAATGCACTTGTTGTTCACGTTTGCAAACCTGGGCCCAGATCATCCTTTCCCTTAGGAGAGGGCTCTAAAGAAAAAACCTTCAGTAGGATACCCTTGCAGAGTTTCTTCCTGATGGTACCTCTGAGAGATTTGCTGTCACCTTGCAGAACAGGCCCTGAGGTCCACCTTCAAACCTAGCAAATTCTCAGGGATACATCCATCAACCAAATTCTGCTCTTGCCCTTTTGCAGCAGAACTTAAGTAAGGCTGCTGCACAAAACCCTCTGTACCCAAAGATAGGGGCAGGATTGTGCTCTTTTTTTCATAGATTCCAATTCCAGAAGGAACCATTGAGATCATCTGGTCTGACCTGCTGTATAACACAGGCCATAGAACTTCCCAAAATCATTCCTTAAGCATATCTTTTAGAAAAAACATCCAAGATTCTTTACAAATGGTCAATGATGGAGATTCCACCACAATCCTTGGTAAGTTGTTCCAATAGTTACTTACTCTTACTGTTAAAAACTTGTTTTATTTCCAGTTGAATTTCTCTAGCTTCAAATTCCAGCCATTGGCTAGCATTAGACCTTTCTCTGCTAGTTTGAAGAGCCCATTGTGATGCTGTATAAAAGAAAAGAGACCATGTTTATGGTAATGTATCATCACTGATGTATCACCACTGTTACACAATTGTGATAAATTTTATACAAAGTATGTCGTGTAAGGTATCATCGGAAAAGTTATAGTCTGCTAAATATGATTATCCTGTTTATATGCATGTATCATCATTGTATCTGAAGTTATGAAACTCTGTTCTGTATTTGTATCTCAACCCTGTTGTGTTTCTGAGTAATCCCCCAACTCCCCAAGAGAGATTTACACCAAGGCTAGCCAGCCTGCCTGATGGCCCATTAAGGACAATCAGCTCTTCCAGGGACCCCTCCCAAGGTCTCTTCTTCAGGCACATGTAGGCAATCAATGCCTCATGACTCAGCAAGGAACATGTGACCCAGGACTCCATGTTTGTGCCAGTAACTTTCCATGCCCGTGTGCTGTGCGTGTAAATTGCAGACTGTGACAACACTCTTTGTCTTCAGTCCTGCTTCATTTCTATGGACTGTGATTTTTCTAACAAGAAGGGAGCTTTGAACAAAGGACTGATGGCCCACAATCTTTTTGGGTGATCCAGAGAGACATATTGCAAGGTAACAGAATTACCATCACTACTACTATCCTTACTTCTACAGACTTGGAAATCACTTGTAATGAATATGATTCCTTAAACCATTTAATAACTCTTCTTTTCTTTTCTTTTCTTTTCTTTTCTTTTCTTTTCTTTTCTTTTCTTTTCTTTAAAATAAATCTTTAGTTAGTTTACTAAAGATTGGCTGCAGCGTGGTATTTGATGTGATCCTGAAAGTACATGTTGACCTGGAGATGAATGTCTGACCCTTTGGGATTGGAAGAATCTAACGTGGTGAATTTTGGTTTTAATAACCTTTCATCACCAAGTCCGGTTGTCTGGTTGGTGATCGGGGGCTGGAGTGCCTAGGGGACTGTTATTTGGCTCTCTGAACTAGTGCAGTGATACACGAGTTCACTTTTGTTACTTATGATAGAATAAATGACCGTTTTTGGGGTGTTTCTGCCTTGTTTCTTACAGTCTGTCCTGAATTTGGCATCCTTAGCTGTGACATACCAGGCAACGTGACATTTGGCGAAGTCTTGGGCAGGATACACATCATCACAGGTCTATTGGGCTTTGGTTCAGAACCCCACGCTATGTAAGACTTAAATTTAATATTGAGAGTTTTAAAGGCTAAAGATTAGTGACCTTGAATGAGTCACGAACCTATGAAGCTATGAACACAATGTAAGGTCCATTGTCTTATCTTCACATAATTTTTTATGAACACCAAAAAACTAAAAAAAAAAAAATTATGTGAAGATAAGATAATGGACCTTACAGGGGACATCTCAGATCAGGAGATGACCAATTTGCTCAGAATAGGAACAAAAGAATGCAAATGCTGGCAACAGTGTAAGCATGAAGAAAAAATGCCAGAATTTAGAATGAAGGAGAAGGCTGAGGATGCAGAGGAGAGCGTGTACCAGGGACACCAAGCAGAGGCTGAAATTGAAAAGGAAGTTCACTAAATGTGAATGGAACACCTGGAGACTGAGAAAGGTGCTCATAAACTGCAGCTCTGAGTCCTAGACAGGCAGGAGGAACAGCAGCCACAGCCTGAAATTCCATCTTCTCTCAATAACAGAGACTGACATAAAGTCTGCCCAATTCATAAAGACTGAATGTATTGAAGTATTTTCATCTACCTTTGAGCATCACCCAAAAGAATAAATGGACACAAATCAGATGTCAAGAATTATAACATTCATAAACCAGTCGGAGAACACTTCAATCTCTCTGGTCACGCAATCACAGACATGAAGGTTGCTATCTTAAAACAAAAAAACTTCAAATCCAGACTCCAGCGAGAAACTGCTGAATTGGAATTCATTTGCAAATTGGATACTATTAATTTAGGCTTAAATAGAGACTGGGAGTGGCTAAGTCATTATGCAAGGTAGCCTGTTTCCTCTTGTTTTTTCCTACCCCCCCCCCCAGATGTTCTGGTTTAACTTGGATTTAAACTTGGAGAGTGGTCAGTTTAGATGAGCTATTACCAGCAGGAGAGTGAGTTTGTGTGTGTATGGGGGTGGGGGGGATGTGAGAAAACCTGGATTTATGCAGGAAATAGCCCGACTTGATTATGTAAAGAGTTGTCACTTTGGATGGGCTAGCACCAGCAGGAGAGTGAATTTGTGTGGGGGGGTGGAGGGTGAGAAAACCTGGATTTGTGCTGGAAATGGCCCACCTGATGATCACTTTAGATAAGCTATTACCAGCAGGACAGTGGGGTGGGAGGAGGGATTGTTTCATGATCTCTGTGTGTATATAAAGTCTGCTGCAGTTTCCACGGTATACATCTGATGAAGTGAGCTGTAGCTCACGACAGCTCATGCTCAAATAAATTGGTTAGTCTCTAAGGTGCTACAAGTACTCCTTTTCTTTTTTGCTTTCTTATTAACAAAATTCATGAAGACCAGGTGATGCCTGTCCTGTTAAACTGACTGGAAAGGCCAGAGAGGTATTTAATGAAATGGGGGTAGAGGAGGCTTTTGTTTATGTAAAGTTTTTAAAGAAACAATATTGAATAGGTTAAGGTTACCACTGAGTCTTATAGGCTAAAATTCAGAGATCTAAGAATTTCTGGTAATGTTACTTATGTAGAGTGTACTCATAAATTTCTTGGTTTATGTTAAAAAGTGGGTTAAAGGGGAAAAACACTTACTGTGACTTTGATAAACTGCTAGATTTAATTACTCTTGAGTGTTTGCTAAAATGGCTCCTGAAGAAATCACACCTGCAATATGCGATAGGAAGCCTGATTCAGGCTGTCTACACTAGCACTTTTGTCGGTCAAGCGTGTGTAAAAAACATACCCCTGACTGACATAAGTTTCGCTGACAAAAATGCCAGTGTGGACAGCGCTATGTAAGTGGGAGACACTCTCCTGCCAACATGGCTACCGCTACTCATTGGGGGTGTGGTTTAATTATGCCTATGGGAGACTCCCATCAGCATACTGCTGTTACAGGGGAGACTTTACAGTGGCATAGCTGCAGTGGTACAGCTGTGCTGCTGTAAGGTCTGTAGTGTAGACATAGCCTCAGTCTTACAGGCAGCAGAAATCACTGATGAATTCATAGAAAACAGAGCTCATGAAGGGTGTAAGCCCCAGGAGAAAGGTAATCCCTTTGCACCCCAGTTTAAAAGGGATGAAGTGTTTAAGAATTAATCTAACCCCAACTTTATTAGAAAAGCTCATGGGAGCCCGGAACATAAATCCTCTCACCTGAAGGGGAAACAGGTGGTCTGTCATCAGTCTGGAACCCCATGCCATATAAAATCAAATTGCCCAAAGCTTAAAAAACACTCCACAACCTGCACCAACAAACACCATAATAAATTCTAATGCTATCACTTTGATTACAAAGGCTACTCATATAAGCTCCAACACTGCCACCTTGAGTACAAATACTAACCTTGCAGGTGTTAATGCTGCCACTTTAATTCCAGAATAAGTGGTGGAAGAGGAAAGCATCCTACCTCTCAAATTATATTAGGACTGAGATGTTGACTGGTAGTGAGGAATTCATAAAGAATGCAAAGTTCAATGGAATTGTGTGTACTTGATGGTGAGATTCAGCCTCTGATATTACTTTAGGTAAAAGGGAATTGGTCAGAGAGGGAGATTTCTTGCCAAATCAGAGTGTGAACATATTGGCTCTTTCTGTAAAAGCGCTTTTGTCCACAATCCCCTTGAGTGGAAAAGTTTTGAAGGTGATATAGTGGTTGGTGTTAGATTTATTTCCTGTTGATGTCTTGATTGGTAATGATATTTCAACTATGTTTAATCAGGTTAATATCATGACCAGGTCACAGGGAAAGTATGGCTCTGATGCAGGTTTCCTGCATGATGTTAGTGAGGGAAATTGTGAACAGGCTAGAGCAGTGGTCTCCAACCTCTTTACACCCAAAATTGCATTTTGAATCTAAGGGCAACGCAGGATCTGCCCCGCCCCTTCACCAAAGCCCCACCCCACTCATTCCATCCCTCCCTCCGTTGCTCGCTCTCCCCCACCTTCACTCACTTTCACAGGGCTGGGGTAGCGGGTTGGGGTTTGGGAGGGGGTGCAGGCTCTGGGCTGGGGCCGAGGGGTTCGCAGTGTGGGAGGGGGCTCTGGACTGAGCCTGGGGCAGGGGGTTGGGGTGCAGGAGGGGGCTCTGGGCTGGGGCACAGTGTCGGGGTGCAGAAGGAGGTGCAGGGTGTGGGCTCTGGGAGGGGAGTCAGGGTTGGGGCAGGGGTTTGGGGTACAGGAGGGGGTTTGGGGTGCTGGCTCTGGGAGGGGGGTTAGGACTGGGGCTTGGCATGCAGGAGGGTGTTCAGGGTGCAGAAGGGAGTATGGGATGCTGGCTCCAGGAGGGGGCTCAGGGCTGGGGTGCAGGAAGGGGTTTGGGATGTTGGCTCTGGGAGGGGGCTCAGGGCTGGTGGATGAGATTTCATTAGCCCTTTTGTCCACAGCATCACACTGGGAGCTCATGTTCGGCTGGTGGATGAGATTGCATTAGCCCTTTTGTCCACAGCATCACACTGGGAGCTCATGTTCGGCTGACTATCCCCCAGAACCCTCAAATCTTTTTCAGAGTCACTGCTTCTCAAGACAGAGTCCCACATTGCGTAAGTATAGCCTACATTCTTTGTTCCTAGATGTATGTATTTACATTTAGCCGCATTAAAACACACATTGTTTGCTTGCGCCCAGTTTACCAAGCGATCCAGATCACTCTGTATCAGTGACAACGGCAAACTGTATTAGTGATAATTTTGTTTGCTTTGAGGTCATTAATAAAAATTTTCAGTAGTGTATGAAAAACTCCAGTCTCTGCGGAACCTCACTGGAAACACATCTGTTCAAAGATAATTCCCTGTTTACTTTTTTTTGAGACCTGTCAGTTAGCCAGCTTTTAATCTATTTAATGTGTGCCGTGCTAATTTTATATCTTTCTAGTTTTTTAATCAAAATGTCATGTGGTGCCAAGTCAAATACCTTGCAGAAGTGTAGATATATTACATCAACACTATTGCCTTTATCAATCAGATTTGTAATCTCATCAAGAAAGTTACTGTTAGTTTGACAGAATTTACTTTCCATAAATCCATATTTATTGGCATTAATTATATTACCCTCCTTTATTAACTGAGTCCTGAATCAGCCATTCCATTATTTTTCCCAGGATTATCTTGCTCCTTAGCCAGCTCTTTTAAAAAATGCGGTTGCAAGTTATCTGGAATTCCTGATTTAAAAATATTTAACATTAGTAGCTACTGTTTAACATCTTCCCATGACACTAGTGGAATGGAAAGAGTGTTATCATAAAATATGACTACATCATCTGTTTTTTCCCAAATACAGGACAGAAATATTTATTTCTGCATTATTATTGACAATTCTGTCATTTCCATCTAGTAATGGTCCAATATAATTGTTAGGGGTTTTTTTTGTTCCTAATATACTTAAAACAAAAGAAAAAACAAAACAAATCCTTATTATTTTTAGCTCTGCTAGCCATACATTTTTCCTTGTCTCTTTGCTTCCCTTATCAATTTTCTATAATTCCTAGTTTCTGATTTATATTTATTACTGTCAACTTTTCATTTCTTCCATTTGTTATATACATATTATTATTTATGGTTGCCTTCATTTCCCCACTAAACCAGGTTGATTTTTTTTAATCCACAGGGCCATAATACAACACACACAAACCCACGCTTGCCCGCCCACCCACCACGCTGGTCTGGGTTTTATTCTCTTGGTACATTATAAATGTTATCAAGTCATGATCACTTGTACCTGAATTACCATTACATTTTAGTTCTGTGATCCTTTCCTCTTCACCTGTCAAGACAAGGTGTAATATTGAATTCCCCAGTCTTTACTGTTTAGTAAATAAACAAACTTCAGAATGACACCTGAAAACATCCTCTTCCTTGTGATTAAAAAGCAGCTGCTGTAATGTCTTTTCATGCTAATCTCAAATGGTTTTAACAGATTAAGGTCTCAGTCCTGCAACCCACTACTCACATTAGTTTCTTGCATACTTTTGTATTTGAAGGATTGGAACCATAGAAGATTTAGTTACTGAGTGTCCTAAAATCAAACCATATTTTATTTAATTTTAATTTTTAAAAATTTCATTATTAGAGAAATCCTAATATTCAAAACAAATAACCACTTTAATGCTGTTAACCTCTGGGGGAAACCAATTTTTTTGGAAGAATTATAGGCTTTTAACAAAAATTTGATATCACAAAAACAGTATGCTGGTACAAGTTATACTACACAGCTGACTAACTGCTAACTGATCTAGAAAAAAAATCAAATTTCCTAAAACTATACTAAAATATGTACATCAATGCAAAGAGTACTGATCTTAAACACAAAGCAAACTGGCACCGCCTTGTTAAAAATGCATATTATAGAGATAAAAAATCTGGGATCCCTAATGAAAAGAGACAGCATGGTTTTATACAGTCTGACAGAAGGATAGTACAGTTCTGAGATTAGCGGCTTGAACAAAAAGCTGGCGTGGAATTGCAGTCTTTTTATATAATGAATTTTGGCAAATATCTCCTTTAGGACCGAGTGGAAATGTTGTTTGCCAGGAGAAACTTCTTCTTGAGTAATAGCCAATCACTAAGCAGTGATGAAGGATGAGCTTCGAGTGAGAAGCCCTCAAAAGCCACTTTAAATTATTAAATCAGAAAAGCAGTATTTTTAACCATGATCACTCTTAGAAACACAGGACCCTGGAATTATAGCTGATTCAATGTTTAAACTAGGGTGGATTTCTACTGCAGGAGGCTATTGGAGTGTAGAGTGTCTCATCACAATTTCCCACAAAATGCCTTATTTTGCAAAACTCATTTTATTATTCTTTTGCTTTGTCCTTCTTGTGGAGAGCAGAAAGCACAGGAGGAAGAGGTGGACAGGTCAGCTGGAGGTGCAGAAGGCAAGGTAAGGAACCGTAAAATATATAACTCTCTTGCTCTCGCTACATATACACGAGTGAAATTAATACTGTATATGTAGTGATAGATGTATACATAAAATTTGCCTATTTTAATTGTATATGTGAATAGCTTCTATGGCTTCTGAATAACCTTATACAATCTTTACTGCTATCTTCAGATTTAACTTTAATTGGTCATGTTTCTAGCAGCTGTCATTGGTAACCTGGCCATTGATTGTATTTTAGTGAACACAGTCTCAGACATGCACACACAATACTGTAGAAACAGTAAGAACTGAAGGTAGATGCAGAACACGCGTTCAGCAAATTCAATTTTAAATATCCTCCCAGCAATAACAAAAGGCTTTATTTTAAATAAGTCTTTCAAAGTGCCTTCTCTTTTCCTGTGGTTGTTTATTTAAACGTCTCTATTATGCAAATCCACCTGAAAATACATTTCATTTTCTCATGGCAATTTGTGGGGTTTTAGTTAGTGTGAATGGTATCCTTACTGCACAGGAGTATGTACTGTATAGGCTTTGTAAAGTTATTCTGCAGATACATTTTGGAAAATTATGTGGGAACTTTAATATAACTTTTCATAGTATTAATAAGGCAGGTGTGCACCAAAGAGTTATAAAGGTCTTAGCGAAGTTTGTTAGATTTAATATTACTGAGACTGGGGGTGAGGAGAGGTTTACATTAGAAAAGATAAGCTTCCAAACCTGTCAAGCAGTCCAGAGTATATTATCCTTTTTTGTATAGAGTTATGTCATCCAATGACAATCATATCTTATAAGATTGTTTGCTAGGCCAAGAGCTTGAAAATAAAGTTGGGTTAATCCATCTTATTAAATGGAATCACTCTGACTGTAAAGAGTCATCTTTTTAGTCATTTTGTATTGTTTAGCATGGCACTGTGAACACACCTTTTTATCCACAGAAAGTGCTGAGATTAGGGTGACCAGATGAAACGGACAAAATATTGTGACACCTGGGGGAAGCAAAAAACAAAAAAACAAAAAAAACGGCCAGAGCGGCCAAAGCCGCAATATCGGGACAAATGGTGTGCCGACCGTGCATCAGTCGGGACGCAGGACAAAGAACCAAAAATCGGGACAGTCCCGATTTTATCGGGATGTTTGGTCACCCTAGCTGAGATTCAGTAGACATTTTGCAGAAAATATATTATGAAAGAAGCAGAAGCAGAGAGGCTAGTATTGGCTAATATTTCTATTGGTATTTAATGCAGAATATGCAAGCACATGTTTTTAGTGACATAAAATTTATTCTCTAGTTTAGACATCTAGGGCCTGATGCTAAACCATTTACGCCAAAAGGGATGCTTTGCCACTGACTTCAAAAGAATCTGGTCCTTACTGAATGTAAATCTGAAGCATGCTAGGCTTTTTTTCAGAATATTATGTTTGCAAAATCTAATGATTCACCACTAGTACTTGCATGGGATTCTTTCATATATGGTTGAACTCTCCTACCTTGAAAAGTTACAAAGCAGCATAAACTGCTCATACACATTTTTGCAGTCTGAACATTTCTCTTTTCAGAAGTACTGCCACTCTCTTGGTTAATAAGTTGTTCTTGGTAGGTTTCTCTCTTTGCAAATTATTCTTGACATTTATTAAAATAAACTATTACCAACCCCATTGACTTTTGCAAAGTTGTAATAGTAGAGAATTCAAGAACTAGTCCAACTTTTTTCTTAAATACATGGATTATGCATTGTAGAGGACAATAGATATTACTCGGTTTAATGTGAATTAATGATGTATAACAAACAATGTGTTAGCCAATGAAAGGATAAATCATTATATTTCAAAAGTATAAGGAACAGTTTTTATGTCTTTCTCCACAGGTGTTAAATAACCACCAAAACTATATTCATAAACTACTTAGCATAGACCACTATGTCCTTGTAATTTATCCATATAAACTTTCTTAATGCATTCATTTAAATGTATGTAAAATGCAGTTTATTTAGAAACCTGAAAATGAGAATCACATTTCTTTTTATTTATAGACATTTCTGTAGTGCTCACTTTATACAGAGTTAAATAGTAACAGTATCTTGAACATTCCTGATTATTTTGTACTGCAAAACTCTGGTTGTCTTGTGTTAAAACCAAACCTGTGCTGAAAATTGCATGGTGCTGGTCTTTTTTGCCTGCAGTCAAATGAAACCCAGTTTCAATGTCAGATTGCCATTCCTTATAGAGAAACACAAAAATAAATGGCATCTTTTATTTTTGTAACTGCCTCCTGCATTCTGCTTTGTATTTCTCTTGCTTCTTTTTCTATAAATACATAAGGCAAGAAAAATATTTTCAACTATTGGAGTCTATATTTAAAAGTTTTCCATTTTCCATCTTAGATAAGGCACCAGTGAGTGTAGTATATGTGCCCAATAAAAAGCTATGTACGTTAAGGGGAGTCTTTACATGACTTCAAAGACCTTTGGTTTGGGCTCTATTAACCCAAAAATCTTTCTGCTCCATAATTCGTTTGATCACTTTTTAGAGCGTTATATTCAAGGGTCTCAAAGAGCTTTTTTTAATATTAAATGACCTCCTCAGTTCCCAGAATAATGAATATTAGAGATGGGTAAACTGATACACAAAGAGACTAAATGATTTGCCTAAAGCAAAAGCAGAGCAGTGGCAAAGCCAAGAATAGAAGCTGGGCACCTTGTCTGTGTTCTATGCACATATCTTCTTCTATCATTTTAATTACACAACACAAGCCACAACTATTTTAAAAGAATATTAAACCAATATTATTAGAGCTGCAAAGTCAAGCACTCAAAAACTGGGAAATTCCTGAATTAAGGTTTCTTGCGCAACTTCAATTCAGCTCCCTTGTGAGTATGCATTGTGATACAGTCTTTAACTACATGATCACAAGCAATTTTTTTCACAAGGCCGCTGCCTCATTCAGTTCACAGAATGGACTGGGATCAATATTTTCCCTCCTCATTGTTCAACGTCTGGCATTAGGCCTTATTTATTGCATACTATTCAGACCCTGCTCTGAAGACAAAGTTAATAATTTCCTCATGGGGTTTTATATGGTGCTCAGTATCTGAGTGTTTCACAAACATTAATGAATTTATCGTCACAAGATCCCTATGAGATGAGGGGGTGATATTATCCCCGTTTTACAGATAGGAAACTGAGGCACGGAGTGTAAAATCAAAAGTATCCACTAATTTTAGGTGCCCAATTTGAGATACCAAGGACCTGATTTTTAACAGTACTTAGCATTATACAGCTCTTTATTTGTTCAAAACACAGCTACCATTGATAATACCCGCTTCTTATTTACAATGTCACCTAAAAGTGAGAACAAGCATTCGCATGGCACTTTTGTAGCCGGTGTTGCAAGGTATTTACACGCCAGATATGCTAAACATTCTATGCCCCTTCATGCTTAGGCCACCATTCCAGAGGATATACTTCCATACTGATGATGCTTGTTAAAAAAATGCGTTAATTAAATTTGTGACTGCATTCCTTGGGGGAGAATTGCATGTCTCCTGCTCTGTGTTTTACCCGCATTCTGCCATATATTTCATGTTATGGCAGTCTTGGATGATGACCCAGCACATATTCATTTTAAGAACACTTTCACAGCAGATTTGACAACACGCAAAGAAGGTACCAATGTGAGATTTCTAAAAATAGCTACAGCACTCGACGCAACGTTTAAGAATCTGAAGTGCCTTCCAAAATCTGAGAGGGACGAGGTGTGGAGCATGCTTTCAGAAGTCTTAAAAGAGCAACACTCTGATGCGGAAACTACAGAACCCAAACCACCAAAAAAGAAAATCAATTTTCTGCTGGTGGCAGCTGACTCAGATGATGAAAATGAACATGTGTCAGTTCGCACTGCTTTGGATCGTTATCGAGCAGAACTCATCAGCATGGATGCATGTCCTCTGGAATGGTGGTTGAAGCATGAAGAGACACATGAATGTTTAGCGCATCTGGCATGTAAATATCTTGCGACGTTGGCTGCAACAGTGCCATGCAAACGCCTGTTCTCACTTTCAGGTGACTTTGGAAACAAGAAGTGGGCAGCATTACCTCCTGCAAATTGTAACCAAAATTGTTTGTCTGAGCGATTGGCTGAAGTAGGACTAAGTGAACTTGTAGGTTCTAAAGTTTCACATCGTTTTATTTTTGAATGCAGTTATTTTTTTGTACATAATTCTACATTTGTAAGTTCAACTTTCATGATAAAGAGATTGTACTACAGTACTTGTATTAGGTGAATTGAAAAATACTATTTCTTTTGTTTTTTACAGAGCAAATAGTTGTAATCAAAAATAAATTATAAAGTGAGCACTGTACACTTTGTATTCTGTGTTGTAATTGAAATCAATATGTTTGAAAATGTAGAAAACATTCAAAAATATTTTAAAAATGGTATTCTGTTACTGTTTAACAGTGCAATTAATCACAATTAATTTTTTTAATCATGCAATTAATAGCAATTAATTTTTAAATTGCTTGACAGCCCTACTTTATACACATTAAGTGGTGCCCTTGAGGTCCAGGGGACTACATAGGTGGGTAAAAATACAGACATATGTGACTATAGGGCAGGGGCCATTGTTTATAAACAATTTATCAATCAATATAACTGTCCACTGAAATTTAATCCTATATGTCTATTTCTGCATCTGGAATACTGTGATTCAGTGACATTCTGTACGTCTACCTCTCTACCTGTGCTTTCCTTTTCACCCCTCAATTACAGTCATCCACAGCCACAACTGGAAAAGGATGGATTCTCTCTTCTTTTTTTTCCCAAATGCTGACTATGATATTAATTTAAACAAAGCACTATGGAAATGGAGTTTGATTTGAACTTTTGTTAGTTGAAAAGAATTGGCCAAGATTTTCAGAAGTGCCCAGGGATTTTGGGTACCCAACTTGAAACATCTAAAAGGGGCCTGATTTTCAGAAGGCCCCGAGTAAGCGCCAAA